TGGGGTCTTAAAAGCTTGCAAGTGGCCATCTAAGATGCATCAATTGGTCCCAACCACCTGGAGTAAAGGAGAATGAAGAACACCAAAAACACAAGGAAAGTTGTAGCCCAAGAGACGGAATGGGCTACAAAAACCAGAGACTTCATCAGCCTGAGACCAGAATAACTAGACGGTGCCCAACTACCACCAATGACCGCCCTAATAGGAAACACGAGAGAGTCCTAGATGGAGCGGGAGAAAAGTGGGGTGCAGAACTCAAATTCTAGTAAGACGACTAGACTTAATGGTCTGAGACTGGTGGAACCCCAGAAAACATGGCCCCTGGTCTCTCGGTCAGCCCAGAACTAAAACAATTTCCGAGGCCAACTCTTCAGACAGGGATTGGACTGGACTGTGGGAATAAAGTGATATTCTTTAGGAGTGTGCCTCTTAGCTCAAGTAGATACAAGAGACTAAATGGGCAGCTTCTTTCCGGAGGTGAGATGGGAAGGCAGAGAGGGCTAGGAGCTGGTTGAATGGACATGGGGTCTCAGGGGTGGAAAGGAGGAGTGTGCTGTCACAGTATGGGGAGAGCAATTAGAGTCACATAACTATGTATAAATTTTTGTATAGGAAAAAAGAAAAAAAAAAGAATGAGGGGAAAAAATATTTACAGAAAAACCAAAGATGAGAGTTCATAACGAAAAGATCTTTACTAGAGAAACTTCTAGAGAATGTATGTCAGAAAGATGGAAAATTATCCTAGAAGGAACATCTTAAATGCAAGAAAGAAGGGTCAAAAAAGTGGTAAATATGTGGCTAAATCTAATGAAACATTGTGAAATGGAAGAAAACCAGATCTCACAAGGTCTTCAGCCTGACTTCTTTTCTGGGTGGCCAAGAAAAACTTCAAGTTTTGAACTTGGAATAAGGAGTTCTGTTGCCTTCAATTAGCTGGCAGAACCAAATGAAAATTCTCTCTGGAAGAAGGTAATAGCCTAGGCCTCAAATTGTCTCTACAAACAAGTTTTTCAAATAAAATGTTCAACAAACAAAGATAATTAGACACACAATATAAGAGAGAATCAGCAGAAGCAAGAAAGGCATCACAGTGACTCCAGATTTTGAATTATCAGGCATCTGTAAAACATCTATGCTTATTGTGTTCTAGAGATAAAAGCCAACCTTGAAAATTTTAGAACGAAACTGGAAACTACAAAAAGAAAAAAGACATAGCAGCTTTGAAAAAAGAAAGAGAAATTCTAGAACAGAATAATAAGAAAAAATTTAATAACTCAGTGGATAGTTTTAGCAGCAGATTAGATGCAGCTGAAGAAAGAATTGGTAACTGAAACACTGGTTAGAAGAAACTAGATGGAAGTACAGAGACCAAATGTTGGAAAATAGATAGTAAGATACATAGAACATACAGTGATACTGTATAATGTACATTTAAGTGTAGTCCCAGAAAGAGAGGAGAAAGAATAGAGTAGAAGCAATATTTGAAGAGTTGATGGCTGAGAATTTTCCAAAAGTGATGAAAGATAATGCAGTGTAGTGAATTACTTAATATGACCCTTCTAGCCATGCATGGTCTTATAACTCTCACACAATGATTGGGTGGAACTATGCAAATAAGGTGCTTGTGGCCCACCAAGCAGACTGGACAGCCTGCTAATTATGCAAATAAGGTACATGGAGCCCTTGTGAAGGTTGGACCATGCAAATAAGATGTATGGAAACCTGACAAGGGAATTGGTTAGTTCTGCCATCCTGCTAGGCTTAAAATGAGCCAATCCCAGGAACTGGAGGAGGGGAACTCACTACCTGAAAAGAAAGGAGTGGGGTCTGTCCTTTGGACGCAGCGTCCTTGCACTGAGAACCTTCTAGACCCAGGAGACAGAAAAAAGAGAGTGCTATAGCACCAGAGACAGCTCTAAACATCGAGCAGCAGCAGCAGAGAAATGGCAGCAGAAGAACCAAGACTGGAGTGAGACAGAGTGGTTGGCTTCCCAGCCTACAAAGCAAAGCAGCTACAATGGGTGAGCTGACCCACTGAGCAAGAGAGCTGAAAGCTTTAGGGCAGGAGGTTTCCTGCAGGGTAGGGTACCTCCAGGCACTTGTCAGCAGAGCTATGATTGCCAGCCCACAGAGCAAGTCCATTCCACTCACAGCGACACTACAGGACAGAGCATAACTGCCCCCATTAGGGTTTCCAAGGCTGTAAATCTTCATGGAAGCAGACTGCCACATCTTTCTCCCACAGATCGGCTGGTAAGCTCAAACTGCCAACCTTTTGGTTAGTCAGCAGCCGAGCACTTTAACCACTATGACACCAGGACGCCTCAAGAATCCTCTAATGATCTAAAATTAATGTTTCTTCCTAGATGCTGCCTCCACCCTCCACGTTCTTTCCACACACAGACTGGGAGGAGGGCGGTTGGCAGAAAAGAAGCCTGCAGGTGAGGGTTCAGGGCTATAACCTTGTCTCTTCCGCAATTACAGCACCTTCCCCAGTCTTGGGGCGACCATCAAAGGGAGATTTGGAAGAAGATGACTTAAAGTAACAGCGTGGTGGTGGAACAAAAACAAGGGCACAGGCTTTTGTCCAAATCTTTTAACTCCTGGTTCTAGGTTCCACCAACTGTGAAAGTACGACCCATTCTGGCTAAAGGTCGCCAGCTGCAAGGATAGTAGTCAAGACACATGTAGATACGTCAAAGTTTGGGCGGCTTCCTCTAAGAAGGCAAAACACCCTTCTCAAAGCGCATTACGTCACGGCTCAAGAGGTATTACCTCAGCCCCACATCCCCCCGGCGCCTCACCTCCGAGAGACCCACCAATATCCGCATGCGCACAAAAGCCGGCGTTGGGGTTGTCAGCCCCGCCCGGCACAACCTCGACGTCGTACGTCCAATGGCCTGTCGTAAAGGCCCGGCAAGCGAGGCCTCGAGAGATAGGGCACCACGCGGTACAGCCTACCCTGCTAGCCGGCAGGCGCGCGCAAATCGCTGACGCAAGCCCGGTAGACTGGAGCCAATGAGGTGCGGCCGACGTCTCCCCGGAGCCGACGGCCAGGCCACGCGCCAGGCCGCAGGAGGGCGGAGCGAGTTTGGTTGCACCGACACCGGTTCATAGGCCTGCACCGGCGTGTCCTTGGACTTAGAGAGCGGGACACTGGGCTTCTGAGCGGTGACCTTCGAATCGCGCGCGACGAGACAGTGGTGAGCACCGGGCCCCGGAAACCTCAGTGGGTTGGGAGGCTGAGCTGTGAGGGGCGCACACCTACATGGCGGCCGCGCGGGCGGTTACAGGCCCGCGCCCGGGGACCTCCGGGTGGAGCCCGCGTGGGGCAGGCAGGGCCTGGAGTGATGACCCTAGGCTGTGGTCAGGCAGAACCCAGTGGGCCAGGTTTGATGGCAGCGGAACCCCATCAAAGTAGAAACAGGGACTCAGCGAAAGCCTTGAAGGTCTGAAGACGGTTTGGTCCTGCGGATCCGACGAAGACGAGGGCCCTCCCCTTGTCGGTGCTGAGGTGCAGTGAAAGTGATGGAGACGAGACTTGCTCCCCGATCAGGGGGAGTAGGGAGACAGTGAGCGGCACTTCTTGCCCTCCTTTAAAGAGAGGAAAACCTGCCGTTTCTCTAATAAGGGGTCATTTCTTCAGACCACCAGTCATTCCTTCCGTTAACCTGCTGAGGCGTCCCAGAAAGGCGGTTTTTATCCTTGAAACCGGCCTGCATGGGTGATCTCATGATGGCTCCGGGGGAGACCTCGCAGAGTCCTCACCTACCCTTTCACTTAATCATAATTGTGACACTTTGTGACCTTGACCTGGTGTTTTGAAACTGAGATTTGAACTAGGTTCCCATTTTGCTTATTTGGGCTTTAACCTTCAGTCCCTTACAGACACACAGACAGGAGCGTGTGTATTTAAGGAGATTCTCCTTCTTAATACTGTTTTGATATTAAAGAGTTTGTTGGAAATGTACTAAGTAAAACAAAACTCAACCTGGTACTTAATGTCGTAGAGTAGTAATGATTCGTAATTAAGTGGCTGGAGTGATCATTGGTTTCTATTGTATTTGTTTCTTGGGGGGAAAATTACTTATTTGGAGCTTTCATTTTTAGAATTCAAAATGGGTGATGTTGAGAAGGGCAAGAAGATTTTTGTTCAGAAATGTGCCCAGTGCCACACTGTGGAAAAGGGAGGCAAGCACAAGACTGGGCCAAATCTACATGGTTTGTTTGGGAGGAAGACGGGTCAGTCCCCTGGATTCACTTACACGGATGCCAATAAGACCAAAGGTATGAGGGGTACAATTGTTAAATAACCGATTGTACAAATTGCATGAATTTAGCCTATGGTAAACCCTTTATCAAGAGTGTGAAATACTTAACTAGTGCATCTCTCCTTGCCTAGGTATCACTTGGGGAGAGGACACACTGATGGAGTATTTGGAGAATCCCAAGAAGTACATCCCTGGAACAAAAATGATCTTCGCTGGCATTAAGAAGAAGGCAGAAAGGGCAGACTTGATAGCTTACCTCAAGAAAGCTACTAATGAGTAATAGTTGGCCACTGCCTTATTTATTACAAAATAGTAATGCCCTGTGACTTTTTTTTATATGTACCGTATTTAAATTGATCGCATACACCAGAATTCATATCATGAGTGTCTGACAGAGTGTTTTTGTCGGACAGTCCTGAATTAAATAAGATTGGCTGCAGTTAAATCAATATGATCAAACTTTTTAAATTTTGATAGTAATTTCAGTTCAACAAGTGTTATCACTCCTTTCTGCTTCTAAAGATACATTTGGAGTTGAGGCTGGGTTGGATTAGTAATGTTCAATTTTTCACAAAGATGGTAAATGCCATCTCACAACCTATAGTAAATTGATTTTATATTTAGATGTATGTAACTGGTTATATAAATATATTTAAATACTGGGGAAACCTCTTCACTGTCTCATGGAACAGAGAAGACGTCTCTGTGTTTCAGTTTATATTCATCAGCCTGTTTAAATGCAAGGGCTGGAGATAAGGTAGCGATGGCCACTTTATCTTGGCTCTTACCTATGTCACTCTAATTAAAATTCCCTGTGTCTAAGATGTTGCCTTTTAGTTAACAAAAGCCATTTCAGTGTGGTTTGTTTATGATATCAAATAAAGAATATTTAACACTTCTCACATTTTATAGATGCTCTATAAGTTCAGATACTTTTAAAAGTCAGCATGAGGAGATAATAGTAGCAAGTTGAATTTTGCTTTTAAATTCTTTACTAAGTTGTAATTCAGAATTGTCTTTAAGCAGCTATTCAAAAACATAAAACTGTTGAACTACTGTATATATATGATTGGTTATGGTGCTTTTACCAACTCATTAGAAGGATTAAGATAGAGGAGATATATTATTGGCACAGATTTGTAAATTAATGTGGTCATAAGTCTTAAGATAATTAAAAAATAACATAATTTTTTGAATGTGCTTGATTTAATGACTCATGTCAAAATCATAATTGTTGAAAAAGTATAATAGCCCTGAAAACCCACAAAGCAACATCAGTAATTCAGCCTTAGAGTTAACTTGGCCAGAAAAAGAACTGCAGCACTTATACCAAATATGGGTAGAAGAATGTGCTTCTGGTCAAGGTTTTGTGATATGTAACAGTGTATAATTGTATCCTAAATTATGTCTTACACCACAGTCTTTGTCATACACATTGACAGTAGTCCCTGGAAATTTTATAGAGAAGGTGAAGTAAACTAAGCCATAAAGAATGGTAAGAATTTCTCAGTGAGGATAACGAATCTGTGCTGGTGGAAATGGGAGTCATTGTCTTCATGGGACTGGTCAGTCATTTCAAAAGTGATGGAAATTATTAGATAGATGTTAAAGGTCTGACAAAGTAATTTGTAACCAGCGAGTCTTATTTTCAGTCAAAGGGAAAATGTGAGAAAAGTAAAGAAATTAGTCTGGAGACACATGCAGAAACAATTTGGAAGGCAAAGGAAAGCCTTCTGTAACTCAGATATGAAGTCCTAGCATGAGTGCTAATGGTGGGGAATTAAAAAATGCACCCAGTAAATCCTTCAGAGGTAAGCCTTTGTAGGAGATCTTGGTAACTGCATAAGTTAGTGGTATTCAAACAGTGTAGCAGTTAGCTTCTAAGGGATAATTCTAGACTACTGTTAAGTCTTCTAGGCTGGAGAGTTGATTTTCATTTTTATGTATCCTGGGAATAATACAGAAAATGAGCATTATTAAGATGGGTACAAAAACTTGACTTTAGAGTTACTGGACCTTCATCTTGGTCTACAAATTTAGAAACTTGATTTTATCACTTAACCCCAAAGTGATCAAGCCTTTGTAACTTAGCTATCATTAAACTGACTGTACCATCTTAATAAAGATGGCTGGCTAATTCACGATAAAAGGCATACCTTGCTTGAGAGCCTGGATCGATCATATGTACAGAGAATACCTATTAATGGTAAATAACTTAAAATTTAATTTTTTACAGATGTAAAGGTTTCTCATACTTATGTGTCTCCTACATCAGCTAAGGCCTCTACGGGCAGATAATTATGGAGTACCTGCTGTGTTCTAGGACAAAAATACCCCTGGTGATTTATAACATAAGTGGTCCTGTAGTTAATTCTAGAGCAGGGCTTTGAACTGGGTTGAACCCCTGCTGAGAATTTGCATTTCCACCCCAGATATACTGAATCAGAGTCTACATTTTAACAAGATCCCCGGGTGATTCTTATGTATAATAGATTTTGAGAACCACTGCTCTACTAGTGGTTCTCAGAATTGGTCCCTAACCAGCAGCATTAGCATTGCCTGGGAACCTGTTAGGAATGCACCACTTGTTGAAGGTACCACAGGAAACAGAAGGGACATTCCTAGTTTTAAGGGGTACATGCCCTCTTAGAAATAAAAAGACAAAAAGCTAGCACTATATTCATTCCTAGTGGTTCATGTGGGTGGCTTGGTGAATGGTATCAAAATTGAGAGTCAAATATTTAAGGGGTTCCAGGTTTCTTCCAAGTGCCACCTACACTCAGTTTTATCTAGAATATCACTGTCCAGTAGAACTTCCTGTGATAATAATCTTCTAGATCTGTGATGTCCAATATATGGTAGCTATTAACCACATGTGGTTCCTAAGCCCTTGAAATGTGGGTAGCATGACTGAGGGACTGAAGTTTTTATTCAACTCTAATGAATTTATGTAGCCACACATGCTAGTGGCCACTGTATTACAGCCCAGATCTAGAACTGGAAGCAGTGTAACAAAAATGCCTCGCTGGACTCCTTAATCTAGGATTCTTGCAAGTACACCACAATCCCTTTTGGAACACGGATCTGAAGTCCTGTTCCTAAATCCGATGTGCTCATCTCTATAATTTTCACATATTTTCAACCTATTCTACTTACAAATTTATAGTTTATTTTAGGTAGATGGCATTCTGGTAGTAGCTAGGAATGTAGCTTCTGATCACTGTTTTCCTGCACTTTTCTGTACTTTATATTGTACATTTTAGCTTTGACCATTGAAAGTTGTAAATTGAACAGGCTGTGACAGAATTCACATGGCTGTCAAGGAAGACCAGGCCGTGTGGCCTTGGTGGACTTACTAGTCCAGGGCGTGGCTCTCTGCAGTTGACTAAAGGCCGGGCAAGCTATTTCTCATCAGTCAAACTCAGATAAGAGTAAACCAGAAATCAATTTGCTTACAATGGGAAACATCCATTTCTAGTGCTGGGCTCTTTTGACTCCACTTCTCATATCAGAATACCTTGAAAGCCAAGTAAGGCTATAGCTGAGCACAAAATAAGAGCCTTAATTCATACAGGCCAGGCTGATGCCCAACGGAGCATCAAATTCACTGCTACAGTGACCAGAAAGTCTCCCAGGTAAATCTCTAGGCAGTACTGTGGATGTATACCGAGCTGGTGATTTGGCTGCGCTTCCCACAGCCCCCACCTCCAATGCCCCAGACTGATCATATTCCTGGTGTTCACATACAGAGTATAATACAAGGTACTCACTTAGTAACAGTTGAATTGTAGATTACATAAATTGGAACTTGGAGTGTTTTACTATGTTTATTTATTGAAGGGCAATATTTTCCAGGTTCTTAGGGGAATTCACTGGCAGTCTCCCTGTGTATCACTAACAAAGGTATAACTCTCCATACATAGAAATACTCAATGAGAGGACCAATGTATTGTGATTGATAGATTATTGACAGTTTTTGGAAATGGGCTGGCAAAAATGGCAAGAGGTGGACTGACACTTGCTAGAACTTTGGTAAGATGAGATATTTTAATCATTTTAGTGAAGTCTCAGATTTCTTCTCAGCTAGAAGGAACCTTAGAGATTTCTTAAACAATTCAACTGTGCTATTTAACAAATGGGAGGTGAAAATTAACCTGGTCTAGATTTGCATAGCTGATGAGCAATAGCTGAGACCAGGACCAGGATACCGTGACTCCCATTCTATCTTAGTCTAAACTCCCTTTTCCCAGACATACTGAGTTGCTTTCTTTGTCTTCATCTGTTCATTAGAAATGTGACTGTCATCTACAATGGGGCCATTAAATAGTGCCTGTAGCTTGAACAGAGCCCTGGTGGTGCAGCAGTTAAGAGCTTGGTTACTAACCAAAAGGTCGGCAGTTTGAATCCACCAGCTGCTCCTTAGAAACCCTATGGGGCAGTTCTACTCTATCCTGTAGGGTCACTGAGTCGGAATCGACTCAACAGCAATGGGTTTGGCTATTTTTGGTTATAGCTTAAACAGTATGCTTTGAAAAAGGATCACTGGGCTAGTTATATTATCTATGGTATAATGGGGAGAATGCTGGATTTGGGATTAGAAAAGTTTAGGGGTCAGCAAGCTAAAGCCTGTGGGCCAAATCTGGCCAGACACTGCTTTTGTAAATAAAAATTTATTTGAACACAGCTACACTCATTCATTAATGGCTGCTTTCATGCTACCACATCAGAGTTCAATAGTTGTGACAGAGACTATATGGCCAGAGAGAGACCTACCAGCAGACACGGCTGAGAAGAGGCCGTCCTAATCGAAGAACTGTATCCTGAGCATTGCTGAACCTGAATTGTAACCTGTTACTTCCCTAAGAAACCCTATAACTATGAGTATGATCTGTGAGTTCTCTGTGGCCGTTGCAACGAATTATCAAACCCAGTAGAAAGTGCTGTAGGAAGGGCGGTTACTGTCAGAATTGTTAAAAAGGTTGGAGAGAGGAGGTATGCCTCATAGTAATCAGCCTTGGGCTTTTGATCTTCTTATTCCCCATTGCGAGGTTAGATGAGGTCAGATGCCCCGCCACGCCATTTTCACAGCACCTCTTAGCCATGGCTACGATTTAGACCTTGTCATTGCTAGAGAACCACTCCTCTGAAATTATAAATCCCACTACACCAGTATTTGGTCACAACTTCACATCACTTTATGTCTCTCACTCTTATTTCTATTCTCTTTGTACTCAAGACCCCCAGGCCCCAGTCATTCCCTTGTGGCCTCCCTTCCTCAGCCAGCCAAGACCCCTCAGTGTATCTTCAGCCACTGCATTGCCTGCATCCTCCACTTTTGTCTCCTGTGTTTCCTTTCATGGCCTCTGCTCTGCAAACGCCCAGCCTTGGAACAGCCCGGCCGTCTGTTTTCTCCACTTCCACACCTGATTTGAACCCTGTTGGAGAAAAGCACACACTTCTCCGATCAGAACCACTATAAACTTACTGTCTCTGATTCAACTGAACCAGCGGAAATTCTGAGCAACTGTTAGTTTATATATCCATTCCTTCCCAGTCTTCCTTGTGGTTATTTTAGACCTCACCATGTTCCACAAGCTTATCTTAATCCCATTCCCCCTTTTCACAGCAGATGGCCTTGCCTCTCATTTCAGATATGAATTCTGTACTTTATAACTAAAGGCAATTGAATAAGCAGGTTCAATCCAGGTCATAGCAGGGTACCACATGGAGAGTCTTTGCCTGTGAAGAACTGTGAAGGTTTTTGTCATCCCCCATCCTCAACAATTCAGAGATGGTTCAGAATTTTGGTTACCTCAGAACCATAGCTCCAGATGTCACAGATGCACCAGAATGGGCAATCTAGCACTTTTTTCCAACCCCCTTGTCCTCTGCTTCCCTCTCTTGTAGCGTTAGAGAGCTAAATGTTTGCTTTCATTTCAGTTCAGGGACTTTGCATTGGGAGCCACACTCCAACAATACAAATATGCTCTCTGCATAAGTTCTGGAAATTACAGCTTTTCATATTCAATTTAAGTTTAATGAAATTATAGTTTTCCATACCTGAATTGGGCAGGTGTAGTGCATCTG